TAACCATGAAACCAATCACGGAAGCATTCATGACTCAAATCACGGTAATCATCACCACAGGGGCAAACATGGCAGTAAACATGGTAGCCACCAAGGAATTCATCATCCAGGAAGTAATGGAGGAGATTGTAGCAACCATGGTATCAATAATAATCAAGGAGGCAGTCACACTGGTGATCATGGACTGAACTATGGAGGTGATCATAGACCGAACCATGGTGGTAATCATGGGCCAAACTATGGAGGTGATCAAGAGACAAATCACGAAAGTTCTTATGGCGGAAGTAACTACGGTGGAAGTTATGGGGGAAAAGGGCATCATTGACAAGTTGTAACCGAGAGGAAAGTGCGTGTGTACTTGATTATTTATTTTATTTTGTAAATAAATGGTAGAATATTACTAAATTTGCGCCTTTGTGATTTCATCTATTGGGTGGTATGAATAAAAACGAAGTACTTGCTACTGCTAGAAGTATTAGTATGTTCTACGTAGTATTTACTTCAAAACGTAGTAGGTACTACATTTCGTAACTACCGAAATGTAGTATTTACTTCGTTTTGAAGTAAATACTACGTAGAACATACTAATACTTGTAGTAGTAGCAAGTACTTCGTTTTTATTCATACCACCCATTGTCTGTCGATTTTAATCTGGTAGTCGGACGGAATGTGAGCTGGTGGCTCCCTACATTAGAACGCCAATGGTTACCTGACGTCACACATGTTTTTGCCATATGAAACACCTCCTCGCTCCTCATACGGAAAGTGTCAGTTAAAAATCGACGAACAATATAAATATCTTTACAACCTCTTCTGTTCATCTGTGAAAAAAGGTTTGCATCTGTAGAAGTCTGCCCATCAAGTAGGTACCTACTCTATTAATTAGTTAGATGGTAAATGAAGATAGGTACGTTGACCTAAATTCTTCTTACGCTTTTTCTAAGAAATATAATTATTTGTTCAACCAGATATGTCACGATTTTCTTGATTCTTGATTATTAGGGTCGTTAAAATGTGAAGCCGCATCTATCAAAGGATTCCGAAACTTGTGTCGGTCATGAATAACTTTTTTTCTTTCCGGTGCCTGATTCATGAGTTCTTCTTCAGGTTCAGAAACCTTGTGATGTCACAAGGGTGCCTATTGTTTGAGACTCGAGAATCTCTTAGGGTCTCCATCGTATTATATTTTACTACATCATTCGTATAGTCTAGACGATTTTCGGTACTTATTTTCCCAGTCACGAAACATGGATAGAATTGTAGGGTTAGTAATTCTAAGCAAAATTCATATATATTTTTTAGTATAACATACCCAGGTTCGTTCAGTAAGATCGAACGATGAGAATTTTTATTACCTTTTAAACAACAAATCTTCTGAAAAATGAAATGAAAACAAATAGGACCTACGTTGTGGAAGCTTACTCAATTTTACTTACTGGACATGCGCCCGACATAGCAAATATTTGGGAAATTTAAGCGAAGTTGTGATATGTAAAAGAAACGAAAAATTTGTGAAACGTCTACTTTATTATTAAAGTAAATCGTACCGTTCTCATCTTGGAACTAACGAGGGGAAAGAGCACGGCAGAGAAACCCTCGATCTAACATTCCTCAAAAATCGAAACATATTGTGTCATTTTAATAATAATTGTTAGTCATTAATTCAATAATTTAAGTCAATAAAAGTTTAAATTAGGTACCGCCGATGGGTTGAGGCACAAAATACGTTAGAGCTTACGAATGCACGGCCCTTTTTTTTCTAGTGAAAAAAGAACCGAAAATTTTCAGCCAGACTCACTTTCCACTATCTGAGATAAGCCAAATTGCTATTCATATACTTTATGTTCTATTGTACTAAATGTGAAATATTTATGACTGGGAAAATAAGTGTACTTGTATTTTTCATTGATCTTGTGAACCCATCCAAAAATTTTAGCCACTCAAAAATTCTTGTTTTGTATCACCAGGAGAACAAACTATTTAATATACGAAAATAAGTGCTAAAAAATTTCACTGCCTCCTGAACTATTTAGTACATTCGGCTTCTTTTTCTGATATGTAATGCGAATTTCATTGCATTGCTGGTCTCTACTCTAACATCCATCACTTTTTTGCGTTCGCTCATCCACTCATTTCTGTTCCGTTGATGTGAAGCCTCATCCGTAATATTCGTCTTTCTATTGCTCTTTGAGTTGTGTCATTGGTTGAATATTTTCATTTTGAGGAATTATGGTCAATTTTACCAGAAGCTGTCGAGGCCACTTTGACTCCTCTTTTGATCATTTCTTTGTTTTATTATATCATCTTCTCATTCAATTATTATATTGGTTTGTCTTTTTGGCTTCTTCATGGTGTATCTTTTTGAGTAATTCGCTTAAGAACTTACTCGCGGGGTTGTTCTTCTAACCCCATTGACATTTCCTGCAATGTTTTAGCAGCCTTGTCCACAGATTAACACCTTGGGCTTGGGTTTTCCTCTCAAGTTTTTTGAACAATTAAGGTATATGATAAAGTCACAATATCGGAAATCTGTGAGACTGTGAGTTCTTAATGTTCTTCTCAATCATATTATATCAAGTCATTTTGAGAAATAGACCATTCTTTTGCAATATTTTTCAATAGTTTTGGTATATCCCTGTCTCATATCAATTTATTTTAAGCTGCTTGAATCGCACTCATTGTTTCTGCCTCTTTATAAATGTTGGCTTGGAAGGACTGCCATACCTGATGTCTGTAGTCCTTTCCTCTATTTTGGAAAGAGTGCCTGATTTCCCAACTATCAGAAGCCATTTTGAAGTGGAAAAATGGTACAAATTAGGATATGTTGTACTAATTTGAGCCTGTAGAAGATCTATCGGACGCACCTGGGGCTTACAACCCCACATAGTCCATGGCTTTACACAGCAATGATAAGGCCAATGATCACGTACGGCAGCTAGCTAAGTTTGGTAGAGCGCGCTTAGCAAATTCACCTATAGGGATAGGCTTCAACGATTTGCCTGCATGGCTACAATTGGAGCATTTAGAACCAATCAATGCTCTTTGTGGAGACGCGGGCTTCAGTCAAACTCAACGATTGCGGACAATGGGTTCATAGAGGACTGAACATGGGTCATGCAAGAACCTGGGAACTATTAGACAGACCCCCTTCTCAACAAAAGAGATGCAATGTTAGAAACTTCACTCCCCCCTCCCTAGACAGTACAAGGTACAAGGTCGTCATCCCTGAGCCTGACCTAGGTTTTCTCAAGCCGAGCCGAAGGGGCTCATCTGGTACATAGTCTCTTATGGGAGAGGGTGCAAGGGCTTGAGTAAAGTCCGTCGATTTCAATCTGATACTCGAAATGAATGTGAGCTGGCACCCTACATTAGAACGCCAATGGTCACCTGACGTTACACCTGTTATTGCCATATACTTCACCCCCTCGCTCCTCATACGGAAAGTGTCAGATAAAAATCGACGAACAATATATGGGGAGAGATTTGTGGCGAGAATCAGTATTGCACTGGCTCGAGACCCAACAGTATACCAGACTGAGATTTACGCCATACAGGTATGTGCTCAGGTAGGTCAAAAAAACTGATCACTATAGACAGCAACGCTTCGGTAATTAAAGAAGTAAGAAAAGCTACTGAAGAAGCAGTAGGCGATATGAAGGTCAAGACAATCCATATCAGGGGTCTGGAAATTACAACAACCAGAGAGAAGGTTATTACAGAGGTAGAAAAGGTCGTTGGGAAGCTAGAGCAAGGCGAGTATGATATAAGTAATATAAGGCCCATTGCAGGATACACTCAGGCAATCACACTAACGATGTGTCGAAAGAAGGCAGAAGAACTCTTCAAAAAAACATTAGCATTAGGGTAGGCTTATCTAGGGCCAAAATGAAGAAAAGAATAGCAGTCACAAGATGCTATAGATGCTGTGCAGACGACCACACTATCAACGAGTGCATAGGACCAGATAGGCGAAAGTTATGCTACAAATGTGGTAAAGAAGGACACTTAGCAAAAACCTGCAAGGAGAAGGAAGCGATATGCCCAATATGTCAATAAAAACACACGCCGAGCGCTCTCAGTAGCAAGAAAACATTTCAGAAAGAGGGAATAAATAAGTAATATATTAACATAAACAATGAAGATCCTACAAATAAATGCAAATAGATTGCATAAGCCGAGCCGACGACAGGTAAATAACTCAAACTGGATAGCAGCACTGAGGGTAGATGTAGCTATATACTTCATGAATAAAGCTATTAGAATGCAAAGAGTAGAGAGGGGACAAGGAATTGTGGCCATACCTTTTGAGAAATTTGACGTCTACGGGTGCTATTTTTCACCTAACATAAGAATACAGGAATTTGGAGAGAAGATAGATACTTTAATGAATATGGTAGAACAGTATAATAACGAGACCATAATAATGGGAGATTTCAACTCGAAAGCTATACGGAGTGGGGATCCCCTATCACTGATGCGAGAGGCCAAATACTACTAGATGCAGTGGCAAGATTTGGATTAATTGCCCAAAACCCTGGATACAAGCCCACTTTTGAGAGAAGTCGATCGAAATTGCATATACATATCACTTTCGCCACTCGGGCAATATCAAGAAAATTCAAAGAATGGAAAATACTGGAAAATGAGCCGCTGTCCCCACATAAACATATTGTAATGGAGATAGACGCAAACAATAAAAGACAAACGTATATGAAAAACAAAGTTCAACTAGACAGAAATAAATTCAGAGACGTGATTGAAGAAGAACTCAGAAAACGACGAAGTAAATTACAGAGTGCTGAAGAATTGCAGGAAGTAATGGAAATCGCACTCAAACGAGCCAAACAAACAATAGGAAGAAAAAGGAAGGATAATGTACCCTATTGGTAGAATGAGGAAATTAAAAACGCTACAGAAGACTGCATTAAAGCCAGGAGAGCTTACTATAGAGAAATAGCTAGAGCAAATGAACAAGAAACAGCGGAGCAGAAAAAAGAGGAGTACAAGGAGGCCAAAAAAATACTAACAAAGTGAATTAAAGTAGCAAAAAACAAACACTCGAGGAAACTATGCGAAGAAATTAATAACGATATATGGGAACAGAGATACAAAATAGTGGCAAAAAGGCTTATATAGGCACACCATTCAAAATGACAAACGAAAGAAGAAGGTATTCAAAAATAGGTAAGGTTCGTTTCACCAGGGTTCATACTTGACCTTGAAACTTGAAAAAAAGGGTTGTCGTAGATTAATTCATATGACACATTCAATTTTTTTGACAAATTAAAATGAATGACTTCTGGTTTAAGAACCGACGACCGTTTTTGACGCCATTGATTTGTTTCAGTCAATTTTTATTTGTTAAACAAGGAAGGAAAATGCTGGTGGCAAGTACAAACCCTGGCGAAACAAACTTTATAGATGAAAATAACCGCATTCATAATCTGTAGAATACTTATAGCTACATTCAAAAAGCTAAGTTATACATATAAATAATCAAATCAGAAAGGCTATTGTTTTGTGGACTGGCAACCTTTTACCTTCATCTATTATGTGAGAAAATATCATTTAATTAATTTGTTTCATTGAGAAATATCACTGACCTAGACTAGAGTAGAGATTCTAATTGAATTGACATGTCCATGGCTATTCCACCGAAAACAAAATATTTGCTTATCATGGGTCAATTTTTTGGGATTTCCTAAAAAATATTATTTTTTCTTATTTCATATGCCACACAACAGCGGCCGATGGGATGGCCAAGTATAAATTCTACCAAAAATATTAAAATATTGTTAAAAGCTTTGTGTCAATCAGCTTAGTGAGACCTATTTTAAAAATGTTTCTGAGAGCTATTTTTGTAAGTATACTTAAAAGTTATTTTTCTATAATATTTCTCAGTAATGTATTTAGTTAAAATTTATTTTTACTTTTTTTTAGATAATCACGATTTCCACCTTACTGGTAGTCACATCATGGGTTGCTGCAGCTCCATCTCCACAATTCTTTTTTGGATCGCCAAGTAGATGGGGTGGATATGGACATTATGGACCTCCACCACCCCCTCCTCCTCCAGGCCCACCTCACTTCTTTGGACCTCCTCCACCACCACCACCACCACCATACTGGGGTTGATTATAATTTACTTATTAAATCTAAATTATTATTCACAAACTAGAAGTCATTTATTAAATATCAAGTTGTTTTATTAAAAATTCACTAGCAAAACAAAATTAACGTCCGTAATTGGAAATTCCAACTGGTCCAGAGTATCCGGAATTGCTTCCGGGTCCCAAATGGCTAGTTCCAGTTTGTTGTCGAGGTCCTAAATGGCTACTTTCAGGTTCTTGTTGTCGAGGTCCTAAATGGCTAATTCCAGTTTGTTGTTGTTCAGGTCCTAAATGGCTGCTTCCAATTTGTTTGGGTCCTGCATGGTTGGATCCGTAATCAGGGGCTGGCGCGGCTGATGCTTGGTTAAATAGCGAAAACATAACCAGAGCAGACAGGAGAAGAACCTGTAAAAATTATTAGAAGTAGAAATAAAGCAAAACGTAAAACTTTAAGTAGGATAAGATTTACGTAGGGCCTATACATAAGTTGATAGAATTGAATACAGTATGTTTATTTAGCAAAACATTATGCTATTACAGTTAATGTGTTAAGAACGGAAAATACAATATTGATAATTTTATCTTAACGAAACATTTTGGTATGGAAAAAGAAAGCTTTGAAATATTTAATTTAATTTTTGAAAATGTTTGGCTTCTTTTTAATTAATTTCGTCAATTGCCTATGAGAAATAGATTTATATTCGATTATTTCCTTTTTTTTTTTAGTAGATACATTCATACTTATGGAAACTTTGCTTATGGTTATTATTAAACTTTTGAGTAGGTACCTAATCAATTCCATCAAATTTAGTAGGTTGGTATACATAAAATTTAAATAAGAAAAAAATAGTATCAAGAAGTAAAACAATTCAACATTCAATTTAAAAAAATAGTAGTTTTACTTACGAAAAATCTGTAAAAACTCGACATCTTTGTCCAAATAATCACTTAAACGTTTTATTGTATAATTGTATAATTTATAATTTTTCTAAGCCTTTTATATATTATTTAGCACATAAATACTAAGACTATGTAGTTTTCTAGAAATATTTGAGATTTTCTTTAAAATCTTCGTCAAAACTATTCGTATTCTATATCAGTCCATACTCCTAAGACTTGATAATGAGCATGTTAAGTCAAAAAGGTCAGATAAGTTTAAACAAATAATATTTACTAATATGTAAAACTACTATTGACGAATTCCTTGAAATGTTTGATCAACTAACAATCTTTAAATGTTTTTGGGAATTTGAAGAATTGAATGCGTAATAAAAATTTTGCCTCTTACATTTGTATGTTTGCGATTGAATACGTCCGATTGAAAAACAATCAATCAAAAAAAATTCCTGGAAATTTCATCAAAATCACTTCTCCAGCTTTTAAGAAACTTGAATCTTTTCAGGTGTCATAGAAATCCTGCCTTGAATGAAGTGTATTCAATACCCCTCTCCCTAAAAATTCACAAATAGAACGAAATTCCTAGAACAAATCGTGAGAGACTTGTCAAACATTTGAGAGTAGTTTTCCCAAAATTAAAAATAACTAATGAAATAAAGATGAAGTAAACCGGTTGGTGAAAAGGTGAAGTAAAGTTTGCAACAAGGGCTTTTTTTCCATTAAAAAATAAAGTTAAGATTCAGGTACAAATCAGTCATTACACAGAGGAGATTGTATGCACTGTCCGACTGTCCACTCACCAACAAAGTTAAATATGTTTTTTGACTATGAACTTGCTCTGTTACAATTAATTTGTGAAAAACTAATCTACCTGTTTCATACTTTTAATTAATTTGATGTTTTTAATAGGCTTATCCATGATTACCCTACAAGGAATAATGATCATCTCTTTATTCCAAGAATGAATTTCAAGAGAACAATGAACTCATTATTTTTAAGGGCTTTTAGGAATTTAACAGTCTTCCAAATGATATCAAGGGCCTTTCTTCAGTTCAGCGTTGTAAAGATGGGCTGAAGGATTACATTCAGGCTAAAGATGAATTAATCTACTATTGGATTTACCATCTTGATGTAATTGGGTGAACCAGAGTAATGTGCTGCTATCTTCTTAAGATTTTTACTTGTATTTTGTAGATAGTTACCTACTTGTATGTCTAATGGGCATTTTTCTTATATTGTTTTTTTTTTGTGTATTTTAGGTGTACCAACCTATTTAATAGAGATCCTGTAGTGTAGCTACAAAAAATATGGCACATAGGTATGTATACTTAACAAAAACACATAGGTATATTTTCAAAAATACTCTTTTATTAATAACTTGGAAATAGAAGGCATAGGTAGGTTGCTCCGTAAAGATATTTAATCGTAATATCCACCACATTATCCTCCGTAATATCCACTACGATATCCTCCGTAATATCCACCAAGATATCCTCCGTAATATCCACCACGATATCCTCCGTAATTGCCATATCCTCTATATCCAACATAATCTAGAAAAAAAGTTGTTTTATTCCCTTTTTGAAAACAATACCTGATGCAAACGAATAAGTAATCAGTCTATTTTTTGAACCAAAATTCGAAATCAGTTAAATTTTATTAGTCTTCTTCAGTATTTCTCATTTATATTCGAGTCTAAACTTAAAATTAAAGCTACTTACTGCCAAAGCCTCCATAGCTACCGCCGGAAATAGGATAACCGCGCCAGTAGCCTCTATAGCCTCTATATCCATAGGCTGGAGATGCTACTGGTGCCGGATTACCATTGACGAGAGAAATTGTCATGACTATGGCCACAAGAAAGATCTGGAAATGAGAATTTTACATCAGAGTTAATATAAAAGGTTAAATTAAGGCGACGAGATAAAAATAGTTAAGCTGCTAGGTCTAAGTACCTACTAGTAAAATTTTACTCATTTTTCTACTGTAACAAAATTTTCTTTCAACTAAGTAGAACTCGGTTATAGGTTTACTGAAGATACAAAATTTCGCGGTGGTAGTTTTATAGGTAGTCGATTGCCAGTATTGATGGTTAATTAATACCTCCAAATCGATTAATGCATGATTTTTGTTTTTTTTTCGGAAAATCCATCATATAGGTAGGTAACTATTGTCACGCGTGAGCCATCAGTTTTCGATTACGAGTAAAATGCTGATTTATTTTGAGGAAGTTCATGCATATGGTACTCGGGATTAAAATTCTAAATAAAAGAATATTTCTATTTTATAATATATTCTCAGGATTTTTCACTTTTTGGGTGTCCAAAATTAAGTCTATACCGTTACTTATAATAAGACTTACACGATCGGTTGAATTAGCAAACTATATAGGTGTAGGTATAAGTGGATATTTTGGATTTTCTGCGACGTAAACAAGCTTCTAAACGATTTGGCAAATCATTACCTAAAACCATGGATAACTAACCACCACATCTAAGACTGTTGGAGGAGAAGGGCCCTTTGGAAAAGGTACTTATACTTACCAACAATCCCACTACAGGGCACATTGCACCTTCTCCAACACTCTAACACTAAAAATCAAAGAAGCTAAGCTAGCGTACATTGACAGCCTAACAAACTTTGAGAGCCCCAAAAAACTACATACAAGTATGCACATTATATCACAAACAAACACTTAAGTAGGCATTCCTATTTCGAAAACTCCAAATGGGGAAATGTGCACAAACGATATTGAGAAAGCCATCATCTTGGCAAACGAGTTTTCCAAAGTATTCACGACTGAGGCATTAATTCCTGAAGATCTCCAAATGAACTTCGACAGGGTACCAAATGAAATCACAACTATCCAAATCACATCCCAAGAAGAAGATAAAAACCGTAAAGGTTGTCCAGCTCTCCAGGTCTTCACGGAATATCCTCATTAGTTCTTAAAAAATACTCAAACAACCTTGCTGTTCTCATGTGCAAAATAATGAATATATCACTGAAGCAAAAAAGGCACTCCGCCGCTTAGAAAGTTGCATCAGTCACCCAGGTATACAAAAATGGTGATAAACTAGATGCTGGAAACTACAGGCCAATAAGTTTGCTACCCATTGTAAGCAAAATCGTGGAATTCATGGTTGCAGAAAATCTGAGAGGTTTTCTTGAACAAGAACAATTGATTGATCCCAACTCAACAACATGATAAAACTGGATAATTTTGGTGTGAGGGGGCTTCAAGATTTAAACCAAATTGAGTGGTGTGAGGACTGGCTACTACCCTTGGAATGAATGGGTCAGTACTGGTCAGTGATCAGTAACACAATGACCTTGGAATTCTGATAATCAAAAACTCGACCTGTCAGCACATGTAACAACGATATGCAAAAAAAGCCAAATGCAAGTTATTCCTCCTAAAGAAGGTTTTCCCCAAGAAGCGTTCACAAAACTGTACAACATATACCAGGCCAATTCTAGAACATGCAGGTCAGGCTTGGCACCCAGAACTCATTAGAGACCGCAATAGTCTTGAAGCTGTACAGAGAAAAGCAACACGAAGAATACCTACATATGAGTAAAGACTGGAACAACAAAAACTACTGAGCTTCCAAAATAGAACAAGAGGAGATCTTAGGTTCCCCTACCAAATACCTTATAACAACATTCAAACAGTTACACACTTCTAGGCCTTGAACACTATATTGAACTTTTGTTCCGTGTCATGGATGTAAAAATGCAAAATTCCCAGAATGGTACCCTGATATTCTAACGCCCGTATTCACCAAAATCAATTTAGCGATCTGATAGCTGTCAGTTTCAAAACTATTTTTGTTTATTCTGAATCTTCCATAAATCTCCAAATCATCCAATTCAGTGAATAAATTATTTTTTCCCTCACATTTCTGGGCCTGGGGCTGCCTGGGAAGATCTTCATCTGCTGACGGATCATCCGATGAACGTCCAAGAAAATTCAGGTCAATTTCATCCATTCTGTTCATTTTGCCAAAGAATAAAAATTTATAGATATCTACACAAATTCAAATTTAACGAACTACCGGCATCTAACTAACTCCCAAGACAACAAAAAGAATAAACAACCGTCATTGAAAAAACAACCTCACTCTCAAAAATATCTATCTGATAACAGTTTGATAACTGCTTAACAGCCCGAATTTGCCCTGACAAATTTATCCGCTCGATAGCGGCTATATGTCAATGGTGAATACCAAAAACTTGTTAATCGGTCTGATAGCGCATTTAATAGACCGATAAGAGTTTAAATGTCGTTGGTGAATACGGCCGTAAAAGAAACAATTCTGCAAAAGAAATTATTTCATAAGAAATACAAGGCCTCACATCTCTGGATAATTACAATACCTATTCAAGTTTCCGTAAAGAATTATTCTATGCCATAAGAAATATATTGATTCTCTTCAAGAATCTGTTAGAAATAAAAAGCAATTCTGGAACTACGTAAATAATAAAAGAAAAAAAATTCGACTTGCCAAATACTATGACATATAATAATATAGCTTCTGATAGTCCGCAGAATATGACAGATCCATTTGCCGATTTTTTACTACAGTCTACACTAAGGGTATTGTAAATTCCCATGACACTGTAAGTGGCAAATCTGTAACTATTAATAATTCTAATATTACAGCAATTGATGTTATGGATTGTATCAGTAATTTAGATTAACAATTGGGCTGCGGACCAGATGATATTTCAGCATTGTTATATGTATAAATTGTAGATTTGTTCTGCCCCCAATATTACAGAAAATATTTAGTATGTCAATAAACATAGGAGTATTTCCAGTGAAATTGAAGGAAAGTTATGTCACCCCGATATTCAAATCTGGAAATAGAAATAGGTAGTACTTATTAAAAACTATAGAGCAATAGCAAATATTTCTATTTTCCCCATAATCTTCGAACAGGTTGCAAGCTTCAAGATTTGTTGCCCACTAAATAATTTGAAATCAGTAAACAGCATGGATTAGTTCCAGGTAAATCTACTACCTGCAATCTCTTGGAGTTTGAAGAACTATTGTCGGATGCCTTGGAGGAACGGTGTCAGGTTGATGTTATTTACACAGATTTCTCGAAGGCATTCGACAGAGTGAATCACTCAGTCTTACTATCAAATATGGGATTACATGGGTTACTGTTTTATGGTTTGGAAGTTTTCTTTCAGAGCGCATAAAAATAGTCAGAATTATTTAATATTTATCCTAGAATTGAAGTAGCATCGGGTGTTCCATAAGGTGGACACCAGACACCTATCACCAGTATTGTTTAACAGTTTTGTTAATGATATAAATAATTGTTTGGTGTATAGTAAGTTTCTATTGTATGCAGATGACTTGAAGGTATGCCATATCTAATATCGATGACTGTTATCTGCTTCAGAATGATCTTAACAGGTTGTATATTATATGGTGTAATATAAATGGTCTTTCATTAAATAAAAATGAATGTAAAACAATGAGGTATTATAGAAATAAAAATTCTATAATATTTAACTATTAGTTAGATATAGAAAATGTAACTTCAACAAAGGATCTAGGCATAATTTTCGACCCTACGTTGTGCTTTAAAGAACATATTGATTTTGTAACCTCTCTAAAACTGCTAGGATTTATGAAAAGTCTTTTCTCTTTCAGTCTTTCAGATTTTGATGATGTAAACTGTTTCACTGTCTCTTTATTGTTCTGTTATCAGATCCTCACTAGAATATGATTGTAGTGTTTAGTCACCTTACTATTTATAAATTTATTTATTTATTTATTTAACACCGACCAAAGACTCCGGGGTTACGGTCTCAAACTTAAAAAAGAAAATTACTTCACACTCACAGTGTGTAGGGAGAACTTTCTACCAAACAGAGTGTTTGCCCTCTGGGGAATCAACTCCCAGCTGAAAGAGTTAGTGGAAAACTTTTTCTTTAGTTGGAACAGCCTTAACAGCCATAATGACGAAGATTTTAACCGTCGTAATGTCAAACTGACAACTAATAACAAGTAAGCGAAATACTATAAATACAACTTGCGTGCGCGACTCCTCAATCGTCGTATCAGGCGACCTGAGGTTTAGTCGCAAGGTTGTTAGGAGTAGCATACAACCTGGTTTTTCATCAATTCGATGATTATAATATCATGATTATTCCTCCCCGAGATTCCTCATGCTAAAAATAATCCATTCGGATACCGTAGGAAAATTTGTACTCAATAGCTATGCCCTGTAGTTATACATAATGTTACATTCACATTTTACTGACATTATTATTATCTTGAGTGAATTTGATAAATATTGTAAATACCTACTATTTTTTATGAATCAATTTTTTTTATTCAGCAAACTAAATCATATATTATCACGTAAATACATAATGCTTTATGATGAAACTGAACCGTAGATCCATATCCACCACTGTATTCTCCATATCCGCCATCATATCCTTTTCTATATCTATACCATAATCTAGAATAAAAGTTTTTTTAATTATTTCTGACGTAGGTACTTACTGGCACAATTTTACTCATTTTTCTATGTACTTTCTCCTTTGATTAGAGATTGTTTGTGATGGTACTACTGATAATCCAAAATCTATCCGTGATATTTTTATGGAAATTTCAATTTACCATCTATTCTTAGATCTTTCTCAAAATCGGTTTACGTATTTACTATTTCGAGGTCGTAGGGCAAAAATAAAACGAACAAAGGGAGAATTTTTGTCGGTTATAGGTACCGAAACTAGTTTTACAAAGAAAATTTGTGGAAATTAAAGTCAAAGGAAAATTGAAAAAGTTGGGGTTTGTGCAGGATTTGAACCTGCGACCTCCGCATTGCTAGTACGACACTCTACCAACTGAGCTAACAAGCCCGCCTGGTAGAGATCGGCGAATACATGATCACTTTCATTCTCCTCCCACTCACCCCAAACGTTTTTCAATTTTCCAATGGCTCACGAATGTGGCATCGGTCCTGCTAGGGTAAGTCACCTATACCACTATGTGCAGGTTTCGTCCACGATGTGTTAAAATTTCTTATGTACGCCATGCGACGTAAGCATAGTTGAACAAAGGGAGAATTTTTGTCGGTTATAGGTACCGAAACTAGTTTTACAAAGAAATTAATTTCCACAAATTTTCTTTGTAAAACTAGTTTCGGTACCTATAACCGACAAAAATTCTCCCTTTGTTCAACTATGCTTACGTCGCATGGCGTACATAAGAAATTTTAACACATCGTGGACGAAACCTGCACATAGTGGTATAGGTGACTTACCCTAGCAGGACCGATGCCACATTCGTGAGCCATTGGAAAATTGAAAAACGTTTGGGGTGAGTGGGAGGAGAATGAAAGTGATCATGTATTCGCCGATCTCTACCAGGCGGGCTTGTTAGCTCAGTTGGTAGAGTGTCGTACTAGCAATGCGGAGGTCGCAGGTTCAAATCCTGCACAAACCCCAACTTTTTCAATTTTCCTTTGACTTTAATTTCCACAAATTTTCTTTGCAAAAATAAAACAACAGGTAAATTCTCTACCATCAAATTCTCGATAATCCTACATGTCTTTAACTTCAAAAATCGCGAAAATGAAAATATTCCAACGGTCCGAGGGAAATTCTCCATTCTGCATCATTTCTTAGATCTTTGTGAGAATCTGGTGTTTACTATTTTGTTGTAGATGATAAAACCTCGATTTAGGGCCGATATTTCAATGTTACCTTAAAATCAGCACTTACCCAAGGTAACCTTAACGTTAAGGTGAACTTGAAATCAGTTCATTTAGGTGGCTTAAGATCTACCTTGAATTAAGGGAACTCTGATATACGGTGCAACTTGTATTAAGGATGACTGAACGTTATTCTGTATTATACCTTAAGGTGACCATTGAATACCGGCCCTTACTTCTCTAGCAGCAAATTTTAGATGTTTATCTATGTTCAAAATCGATATTAACGAAATCTTGAACAACATCTTTTCAAAAATTCAGGATAAGATGCAAAACTTGCATTAAACCCCTCAGCTTGGAAAAATCCACATTCAAACTTAGGGCCGGTATTTCAATGTCACCTTAGGTTACAGAATAACGTTAAGTCATCCTCAATACAAGTTTCACCGAATATCGAAGTTCCCTCAATTCAAGGTGGATCTTAAGCCACCTGAATGAACTGATTTCAAGCTCCCTTTAACGTTAAAAGGGTACCAGCCTTTAATTCTTTTATAATCCCAATATTATTTGCCGGCCTCGAAGAAGAAGGGAATAACCTCTAACTTCCTTTTATGAGAAGTATAATTTTTCTAAAATTATTTGCAGTTTTTATTTAATTGAGTGTAAATAGAGTGAACCAAAAATATGAGACAGATAATCTCTACCAGGGATGTGCCGTAGACTATAAAATCTACTTTACGCGGTTTGTCTACTCGTTGTCTACGTATTGTTTACATCCACTTTTTTCCATGTATACTATGTAAACTATGTAGACAATGTACACAACAAAAAATTTGAAATTTGAGTAATTTTTTTGAAAGTTTGCATTGCATTAAATTTATATTGTATGAAATTAGACATCATCTGCAGTTTAATTTACTTTACAAAGCAGAAAACAAAACAAAGCAAAAACAGAAACATAACCTTAAAGGCCTGCCAACTGTCAAAAATTGTATACTTTACGCGTTAGGTCTGTTCCCACAGGCGTTTCTGATAGTTTGCAAACTGTCAGAAACAATCGCTCAGCTGAGTTACAGATTTATCTTGTAACGACAGCATTGAAAACATGCATGGGCGATGCTTACCGACAGTTTGCAAACTGTCAGAAACTCCTGTGGGAATAGACCTGATGTCTACATATTTTACACGTTGTCTACATAGATTACATATTTTACATTGTCTACGCGTTGTTTACACCAGACGTAGACAATCTTTGTTTACGCGTAGATGCCCATCTCTGATCTCTACTTTGAGACTGAAAGCATAGGAAAAAACACTGTTTTAATCAAAACATTTTTTTTTTTATTGATAACCCATTTTACTTATTTAAAGTACTCCTCAGCGTGTTTAAATCCAACATTCAAAAACGCGCGTGTTTTAAAGTTATCATGACAACATCAACAACCCAAACAAGTCTAAATGTCAACTTTATAATTATTGATTTGTCAGGAGTAGGTTAGGTACTTGCAGATAACGTCAAATAAAATATAACAAATGTTAAGCACGAATTTAGCATTCTACAATTATTAGTAATTTATGATTTGAACGTATACCAATAAAAAAAAATAGTGTAAAGTATTCGTGAATAACTGGTCTTTAAAACACTTGCTCTATTTTGAGCAACCACGGCCACAAGAAGAATCTGGAAGTGAGAAGTTTGTGTCAGAATATTTTCAAATTCAATAAAAATCAAGTACTTACTTGTACAACTTTACTCATCATTTTTCTAGTGAATAGATCAATGCTATGATGGGTGTATACTCAAGATCTAAGATGCAGCAGTGACATTTTTATAGTTTATTGACTGGTTTATTAATGAATAATCTGCATTTTATAATCAGGTTTAACGTTTGTTTTTATGCATTTTGACAAATCGAGTGGGCTAATTTATTTCTTTGTCGGAATTTTGATTGCATCTTTGCATGATGGCACTAGACTAAGACATTCAAAATACTAGGTACTAAGTTTCAACTATAAGTCACTTACTAGGATTTTACATATTTTGAGAATAGGCTTTATTCTTCTAGTTGAACTTACACATTTGAGAGTTTTATTTTCTGATTCAATGAAAGTGAGGAGAATTGAGAAAAATCTGCTGAATGCTGAATTAAACCAAGTGCATAAAATTTATGGGAAAGGTCAATGATTTTTGAAGCTTAAGAACGTTACTATAATAGTTGTCCAGTTTATAACGTCTTGGATATGAATGAATCAAGATTCTTTATATGCTGTTCAACTAGTTTCATATAGAGAAAATACTGCTATTATTGTTCCAGTCATCTGCCCAAATCCTAGACAATATAATTTTTCGAACCTATAAATAAATGGGTAATCAATAATCATGCATATATAGAATGTATGAATGTATAAATTGTATTAACAAAAATAAAAATGGCAACAATGTGGAACTAGACATAGCCCATTTATTTAGCTTTAGATTGGAAGTGTCCTGTCAGAGAAGGCATTATTCAAGAGATTAACAGAAAGGTGGAATATTTCACCCAAGCAGATAAAGACTGATATCCATTCCACAATGACAAGAAAACATGCAAAAAATACCATCTTAAATCTTGCTCATCTAAACCTGAAGTCGATTTTCACTGGTTTTCTCGAATTCAGCAATTTGTTACAAACTAAGGACCTTGACATCATATTGGTGTGACAGAAACTTGGTTGAGAACAATACAGCATCCGAAGTAGTGGCCATTCCGGGATATAAGTTTTATAGGCAAGACCGAGCGATGGGAAGCCATGGGAGCCATGTTTGTTTATAAAAAGTGCAGATAATCTTATAACTATTGTTGCTGTCTATGTTGACGATTTTTTTATTTTTTCGAGTTTAGAGAATGAAACAAATGTTTCGAAATAAGAGCTTGGTTCTAGACTTAAAGTTAAAGATTTGGGTTAAATCAAGGATTGTTTAGATACCTATGGAAATCGATATACCTAAATAATTACTTGAGCCAATTTAATTATTATCACATAATGAGGTTCACTAGAGTGCGCGAAATGAATTTTACGTTATTTGAAGGGTACAAAGATTTAAAATTAACTTATTCAGAAGAAAGAACAGAACTGGTTGGTTTTGTAGATGCCGATTGCTAATTCAAAAGACAAAAGATCTTATACAGGTGTATTTAAATTTCAGGGTTCTGTTATTTCTTATGAAAGCACGAAACAAAGAACTGTAGCTTTGTTAATCACGGAAGCTGAATACATGGCGTTAACAGAGGCTGCAAAAGAGGCAATTTATTTAAAGAGTTTGTTTGAAGAACTAACAGGAAAAACACTATGTATTCAGTTATATAACGATAATCAAACTTATCTGCAAATCCTGTATATCATAAAAGGACTAAGCTTATAGGTGTTAGACATCATTTTATCAAGGAAGTTGTTGCAAATGAAAACTTAAAATTGAAGTATTTGCCAACAGGAAAAATGCCAGCAGATTTGTTAACTAAAGTGTCTGAGTTAATGTTATGAAAAGCATTACTTTCTATTACACAAACTAGGTTTAGGAATGTTCTGATAGAAGATATTGTATTTGTTATTTTTTTATGTTTCTGAGTGGGAGTCTTAAAATTACAGGATTCATGAACATAAGGAAACCAATTTCCCTAGCTATCTATGAAACTTTGTTGATAGATAGATGATAGATTGATAGATGTCAAGTTTTTTGTCACTAGTTACTAGTTAGGTGAATGAGATTGTGGTAGCTTGTGAGCTTGTTGGAATCTCTATGGTTATTAGTTTCAATTATTGATAAATAGACTGTTGTCTTGTATCTAGATCTATATAAATGAACGTGTTTAATTTAACAACAACCACATCCGAGTTTGTAGGAGAAAAAGGGCACTATGGATAAGGAACCCCCATCCATACCAACAATCTCACTGAACACAGGGAACATCGCACCTTCTGTAACACTCTAACACAAAAAATCAAAGAAGCTAAGTTGGCATACATTGACAGCCTAACAAACTTTGAGAACTCCAAAAAACTACATAAGTATATAAGATCATAACTAAACGCCAAAGTAGGCATTCCTATTTTAAAAACACCAAATGGGGGAATATGCACAGACAATATTGAGAAAGCCACCATCTTGGGAAACTAGTTTTCTGACTCTTCATAACCCAAGTAATCCTAAAGAAGATAATGGCCCTGAAGGTTACCAGCTCTCCAGGTGTTGACGGGATATAGGTACTTTGAGACTAAAAGCACTGTTTTGATCAATTCTTTTTTAATTCAATTTAAAAATTATATACAATCAAAATCAAAGGCGATCTTAAGTCACAAAAATAACGGTGACAATTAACCATAGAATCCGTATCCGTATGGCCGATATCCACCGAATCCTCCATAACCGCCATATCCTCCATAACCTGGGAAAAAAATAATTTTTTAATTAAACACAAACAGAACAGAAAAGTTAATTTCTGAAAGAATGAATAGGTATCAGTCAATTTAATTCTAATGAAAAATTAGATGACTTACGTCTAAAGCCTCCATAACCTCCATAGCCACCTCCATAACCACCTCCGTAGCCTCCATACAGACCACCAAAGTGTGGATCTGCTTCTGGTTCTGGATTCGCATTGACAAGGGCAATTGTCATAACCACGGCCACGAGAAGAATCTGGAAGTAAGAGTATTTTGTCAGAATATTTTCAAATTCAATTAGGTACTTACTTGTACAACTTTACTCATCATTTTTCTAGTGACTAGATCAATGCTATGGGTCTATACTGAAGATCTAAGATGCAGCAGTGGCATTTTTATAGTTTGTTGACTGGTTTATTAATGAATAATCTGCATCTTGGAATCAGGTTTAACGTTTATTGTTTTTGCATTTTGAAAATCGAGTGGGCTTATTTATTTCTTTGTCGGAATTTTGATTGCATCTTTGCATGGCACTAGACTAAGAATTCGAAATACTACTAAGTTTCAACTTTGAGGCACTTTCTCAGGATTTCCCACATTTTGAGAATAGGCTTTATGCTTCTAGTCGACTTTACACATTTATACACAATTATATTTTCTCATTCAGTGAAAGTAAGAAGAATAGAGGAAAGTCTGCTGAATCAAACCAAGCGCATCGTATAAAATGGATAAACAAGGACATGCTTAAAAACGTTACTTTGATAGTTTTTCAGTTCATAATGTTCTGCTAATGAAGATTCTCTATGTGCTGTTCAACTAATATCATATTATAAAGAAAATACTGCTATTATTGTTCCAGTAATCTGCCCAAATCCTGCATATCGTCGGCATCATATGAAAATTGCCTAAGTCCAATTTTTTTCAAAATTAAGATTTCAGTGCAGTCTTGTGAGAAACTTAATAATCAATGATTCAACAAAATATTTGGGCCATTAATTGTTACCTAGATGAAGTCACACAATTATGAAAAGAAATTTGCGCAAGTCCGTCGTCGTCTTAAAACAGAGTGAAACTTGCGTAAGTCCATATCTCTCCTGTGCATTCTTTCCGGTGATTTGTATCATGTAGTTTTTCTTCACGAAGGTTTTTTGCGCCTCCTGTAAAATTTAACTTTATGGACTTAGGCAATTTTCATATGATGCTGACGATATTATGGTTCCTACCTTTTTGAATTAACCAATGAAAGTAGTCTACAAGTTAAATCAATTATTTTTCGAACCTAAAAATAAAAAGAAGGGTCCATGTCCCAGGGTTACAGGCAAAGACCATACTGCGAACGAAGGCGGAGAAAATGGATTTCATCACGGCGGACTTGGCATAGGTGACAACCCTGGTTTTGTCTAGGGATGAATTTAGACAAGACAAGCCAAAAAGATAGCTCACCAGAAGTAGTTGAATTCGGCGAATCCAGAAGATGAAATAATGTTTAGACACCTGAATAGCAAAGTTAAGAAAGAGGTGGCAAAGCAGAAAAACAAAACATGGAAGAGATCGGAAGATATTTGGGAGGTTTCAGGGTGACAGCAGCATGGAAAGCTTCGAAAAACGTCTAGGAAAGGTGGTAGAAAGGACGCAGCGAATGTCCAGATAATACACATGGAAGAATGGACCGGACAATACAAGAAGCTGCTGACAGAGGAGAGAGAACAGTTCAAGAGACAGATTGAGGAGATTCGGGAAGATGAAGTAAATCATGTGGAAGCCATAACGGCGAAAGAGGTTAGAACAAATGTACAAAATTTGGAAAATGGAAAAATCGAGCTAATCAAATGTTGGCCAGAGATCGTGATGGAAATTCTAGCAGATATATACAACGATCTGTTACGAGTGTTACGAAGAGGTTACGCTATACCTGCAGACTAGAATATCTCACAAGTTCCATCCACAAAAAAGGAGATCGAAAAACTTGTGGAAACTATTGAGGAATAAGTGCGACTAGTTCTTTGGGAAATTTGAATGGCCTTATTTAAAAAAAAAATTGAAATGGAATTTTCAGATATAGAAGAGCAGAATGTCTTTCGTGTGAATGAATGAATATTCATGGAGTTTAGAACAAATCCTATAAAAAAAAGCTCGAAACCTGTCCAAATACCTAATATTTGTAAACCTTGAGAATGCCTATACGATATAATGCCCTCGAAAAAACTTATCGAAGTTTTGATAAACGGTAAACACTAACCTTAGTGAAGAATACACAAGAGCCATTAGTAACATTTATAAAAACCCGCAGAGTATAGTAAAAGTAGGATGTCATGCTTCAGAAAGTTTTAAAATTACAAAAGGACTAAAGCAAGGTTGTTGTTTATCACCTACACTGTTCAAGATATACATCATTCAGCAGGTCTTGAACAACTGGAGAAATAAGTGCTGTGGTATGGGAATAGAAGTGGGAGAACATTACTTGTCCACACCATTATTTGCGGACGATCAGGTAGTAATAGCTAGCTGTGAAGAGGCCGTTTGATGCGTACCTATAGAAAACTCAAGAACGAATATGAACAGTTGGAAATGGAAATAAACCAAAGCAAGGCAGAATATCTTTGTATTAAAAGATGAGATCTGAAAAAGTGTGAGGAGTATAAATACTTGGAAAGCTTGATATCAACAGAGGGAACATCAGAGCGAGATATAAATATCAGAGTGACACAAGGTAAAAAATGGGTTAACATTCTGGAGTCTTTACTCTGGAGCAATCAGATTTACCTATATGAAAACAAAAAAGACAATCTACGGAGCAAGTGTAGAGCCGATATTGACGTACAGTATGTTGGCAGCTATCGGAACGAAATAAAAGGAAGATACATGCAGTGGAAACAGTCTTTTACAGACGGACATGTAGAGCTTTAAGACTAGAGGATATACAGAACGCTGAAATTCGAAGAACAAGGAAGAATATATGGACACCCGAGAGACACTGTGAACCCATCTTCAAAGGAAGACCTTGCTATTAAGCAAATATAATTTAATTTTGATTATTACTTACTTTTCAATTTTTTATTGTTTAAAGTCTACCACCTATCTCCTCGATTTATTGTTATATGTATAATCAGCATAGGTATTTACTTCATATTGAATAAGATACGAGTAGAATTAAATCAGTCCATTTGTTCCTTCAGGTCAAAGGGAAAGTCCAGCAATTAACACTTCCAAAATTTTGAAAAAGTCTGCAAAGTCACCTTCATACTTAATATGGTTGAAAACAAAAAATTAGACTGGTTTGTCATTGTTATTTTTCTATGTTACCTAAAACAAAGTAGACGAATAAATCTAAAACAAACAAGAACTTTGACGTGTTTTCGATACATCACAAATACATTAATTATGATAATTTAACACCTAATTTTTCTAGTAGACGAAATTTTAGGAATCACACCGGCGGGCGCGGCGATCCAAATCCCGTTTCGATGATGTTATTGTTTAGTCATTTTGAATAATTTTGTTATAGTTAATTTATGACTTAACTGACCTAGGACTTTGGAGATTATTTTTTGAAAATAATCTCTTACTGAGACTAGAAAACATACAAGTGACAATAAACTAACACATCAAAGGCGAGTTTTGCATATTTTTGTATATTTTTGCATATTTTTGATTAGGCAAAGGTTATTTCCCTTTAGGTTAGAATAGATGTTGGAGGTGGCTCACTTGTTCCGTTCCTGTAGTGAATGAAGTTACTCTTGAAACCATCAGTTCGTATTTTCTTGGATTAACTGAATAATTTTCCTGTCCGTGACTAGCTTAACAGCGAATGTTTTCCATCGTTGACAAAGTAATTCCACAAGGTTGGAAAATAGGACTACCGTCATTCAGTATTCAAGCGTAGGAACAGACTGCGAACCTTTAAGGGACTGACTTTGCACTTGGCACACACTAGAGATACATATTTATGACTCGATAGGTTTATAGAATACGAAAATAGATTTGATTGACATCACAGAAACCATGAAGTTCAATGTTGGACATAGAATCTGCAAAAACACTTCTTGGAATCCTGGTTCGTTGACGCTAGTGAAGCTGAGACGTAAAGGTATTCTAGGTATAAGGGTAGGTATACCCTCCAAAGAGATGTTGACTGCCAGAAGCTGTTCAACGAGATATTTGGCCGACAAAGTCACAGGAGAAATGAAAACGAATGGATTAAATATTCTGGTAACTTGACTAAGAATAATTCGCTTGGTGCAAGTTTGATCAAGAAATCCACGAGTATGAAAATACATTATCGCACGACCACTGACCAAATTTTTTTTTATTGATTTTAGCATCTACCAGAGAGATCGCACATGTGCGTGATCTGTAGGTTTCCTGGCACTTCAAATTTTCTAGAGACTGAAGAGAGGCTTCAGGAATTCGCTCAATCTCCCAGAACTGTATTTCCAGATTTGTATCAGTCAGTGGAAACTTGAAGTGAAGAACAACAAGCTGAGTTGAAGCTTGGGTTGTTATTTCAAACTTCAGAGAGCATCGCCGCTTCGAACGGTTAGATCAGTGGCTTGAGAGTTCTGGTTTGGATTGGAAAGTCACAAGCGACTTACGGCTTCTATAGGAATGGAACAATGCTCCCGCTGAAAGTCGAAGTGTCGAACACAAACTTCAGAAATAACTGTGTCAAGCAAAACTGACTTTCTGAAAATTGCCGATGTTTTATACTATTATTAAACTAAGTATGAGATGTTTTTCCGCGAAACAAACATTTGCTAGGGTTGAAGTCACGTTCATATAGAGATTGACACAAATTTGTAGCGGATGAAGAAGCAAATGGCAGGTTCATAGTGGTTCAAATTATTAAGATAAGGTTTGGTTTCTATCTGAATGGAATGTTTTGTCCTATAGGCAAAATTTCCACTTCACTTTGCACTCAACATTTATTTTACAGATGATGCACTCGTAAATGATAACGTATTAGCAATATTAGCATAATCATCATTTCGGATTTTCTGAAAAAAACAAACTTGGAACCTGATTTTGTTTATTAAATCAGCGAGTCAACAACCTATAAAAGTACCACCGAAAGATTTTGGATCATCAGTACTACCACAACCGAGTTCTAAGTAGTCAACAATAAAAAGTTATTCAAATAGAAAAATGAGTAAAATTGTGCTAGTAAGTGTACTTACATAGACTTTCAGTTTATATCAAAAAAATATCACTTTCAGATTCTCCTCGTGGCCATGTTCATGGCAATTGCCCTTGTCAAAGCTAACCCAGTACCAGAGGCAGAACCACACTTTGGTCTAGGCTATGGTGGCTTTGGAGGTGGCTATGGAGGCTTTGGAGGCTACCGAGGTTATGGAGGTTACGGAGGCTATGGAGGCTATAGACGTGAGTCATCTAATATTATCAATATTGAATATTTTTTCAAAAATTAAATTTTCTCTTTGAAAAATGAGTACCTCACAGTTCCACATTTGTTTGTTTATTGAATGCTCTTCTCCAAAAATAAATTAAATGAAAAATTTAATTTTTTTTTCCAGGTTATGGAGGATTTGGCGGTTTTGGAGGATACGGTGGATACGGTGGATATCGGTCATATGGATGGTACTGATTCTTATGTAATTTTCACCATGATCCTCGTGATTCAAGATTTCGTTTGATTGTATTATATTTTTAAATTTTATTAAAAAAGTATCGATTAAAACAGATTTTTTTTTTCTCATGCTTCAGCGTGTCAGTCTTAAGGTCTGTCCCATATTTTTTGCCCCACCCTGTTTACAGCCTATTAAAAAAAAAATTGAATAATATCATGAAAATACAACTTTTTATAAAAGAAAGTTAGAAATTATATTATAAGGCTGGTCCTCTCTGTTACGAGGTCGGCAAAATTATTGGAATTTTGAAAAAAACAGAAATCAATGGATAAACGAGAAGGACGAACAATAGCCCAGGACTATTTGGAGAAGGACTAGTCAATGATAATGGCCAAAGGCTCATACATCTCTGTGTGACCCACAATCTTGGAATAAACAATGGATTTTTCAAACACAAAGATATTTACCGCTACACATGGATACGGAATATCCATGGTAAGCTGAAAACTATTATCGACTATGTGATAAGAGAACAAAAAACAAACATAAAGATAAACAACGTAAAATTCCTAAGTGGAATTAGTTGAGGGTCAGATCAACAATTACATACTCATGGACGCAGTGGATACAACAAAATACAATTTTGACAATTTTAGAGATGGAAGCACTGTATTTCTGTATCATTGAACCCTGAAGAGTGTTCCTCCAATAAACTCTATGAGAACTTTATGAGGAGTCTAATAGAAGCCATCCAAGGAGCAATAGTTACAAAGAAAAACAATACCAACAAAAAATACTGGTGGAATGAGGAGTTAGAGCTATATTAGTCCAAGAGAAGAAGCCAAAATACTTACCTGAAATTGTTTAAAACAAAAAATTAATATTACCTTGAAGCATATGAAGATAAAAATAAACTAAAAACCTGCATCACTATACCTAACAACGAGTCATGGGATAACAAATGTAAATATCTAGGAGGAAGGAAATGCTCAGAGGTATGGAGATTTCTTTAAAATGGCATAAACCCAGGAAAGAACAGAGCTAATTTCCAGGTAATCCAACACAAACAATAGATAAAACATTACAAGGGTCTATCACAAGAAACTTGACCGGAATATATATTAGATTCTCCAAGACATATTCAGTACATGGAGAAGAAGTTGAGATATCTGAAGAAAATACTTTTAAGTCAGGTAAAGCTAGCGGCCCAGAATGTTGAAATAGGGAATCGTGAAGCTATTTAGAGGCCTCACATTATCAATAAATGCCCAAATGGACATCCTGTTCCACAAGACTGGAAAAGGGCTTTTATATCATCCATTCACAAAAAAGGAAATAAGCTGGACTGCAATAACTATCGGGACATATCAATCACAAGCACATTATATGGTAGAATCCTGCGTAAACTCATTAAAGAAAATTATAAAGAGAAAAAGAAGAGCAGTACGGGCTTAGAGCGGGAAGATCAGGTACAGACAACGTATTTTGCCTAAAACAAATCATAGAAAAGAGATCAGCCAGACATTTGGAAACAAGACTGAAAGACAAACGAATGGATCAGACAAAACACAAAAGTTATAGACATCGCAGAACGGGTGGTAAGACTAAAATGGAAATGGGCTAGACATCTACTGCGAACAGATGATAATAGATGGACCAAAAAGACAACTGAGTGGAGGCCTAGAACAACTAAAAGGAACCCAGGACGGCCAAGAACCAGGTGGAAAGATGACATCCAGAAACTGGCGGGTACCCGTAATGGATGAGTCAGACCAAAAGAAACTGAAGATGATGATGATGATGATGATATAAAACAACAAATGGGAATAGAAGGCATGATAGTTCAGGACATTGAAAGGAAACAACTTACCTAGTACGAACACGTAGAACGAATGCCAGGTGGCCCAAAAAGATGCTGCATTGACATTCAACAGGTGGAAGAAAACGAGGAAGATTAAAACTGGAATGGCAGAAGACCATACAAAAATCCATGAGTGGAAAAAATCTCTCATAAGAAAATTGCGACAATAGAAGAGGAAGGAAATTAGGTGTCGGACACGGAGAAAGAAGTTTCTAAAGAGACGTGAAAGAATTCAGATTATTGGGATAATTTACATCTAACTTCGCACTCAACATTAACTTTTTCCAACCAGTTAAAATTCCAACTAATGAATAAGCAGATAAAAAATAAATCAGATGATGCACTCACAAACGGTAACGTCTTGGTCTATTAGCATAATCAACATTTTTAGATTCTCTGAAGAAAACAAACTTGGAACCTGATTTTGATTAATAAATCATCCAGTTAACAAACTATAAAAGTACCACCAAAAGATTTTGAATTATCAGTACTACCACAACCGAGATCTACCTACGTAGTCAAAAATAAAAACTTTATCAACTAGAAAAATGAGTAAAATTGTGCTAGTAAGTGTACATAGACTTTTTTTATCAAATTTCAAAAAATTCCTAGTTCCAGATTCTTCTCGTGGCCATGGTCATGGCAATTGCCCTTGTCAAGGCTAACCCAGTACCAGAAGCAGAACCACACTTTGGTTTAGGCTATGGAGGCTATGAAGGTGGCTATGGAGGTTATGGAGGCTTTAGACGTAAGTAATGAAATTGTTGATCAAAATTAAACATGGTTTCAAAAATTAAAGTGTCTGTTGTGAAAAATCTTCTCCAAAAAAAAATTTAATGAAATTTTTTTTTTTTCCAGGTTATGGAGGATATGGCGGTTATGGAGGATATGGCGGTTATGGAGGATTCGGTGGATATCGTGGATACGGATTCTACTAAGTGTCACCATCATCCCCGTGACTAAGATTTCGTTTTGATTGTATTTAATTTTCATATTTTATTAAAAAATACTATTGATTAAGAAGAGTTTTTTCTTATGGTTCCAATCACCATATTTTTTGATCCACCCTGTTTAAACCCAATAAAAAACTAGGTATAATTTTATAAAAAAATATTTTTCTATAAAAAGAAGCTAAATAAACATCGAGAATTTGCTACTTTGTGACGATAATCGCTGTCCTATTATGTCTACCTACGACAAAATAGTGAACACAGATTTTGGGAAATATTTGAGAAATGACAATTCCCAAGGAGATTTTTGAAGACATGAATAAATATAGGAAATTTGACAGTACAGAAGTTGACTAATGTTTTATTCCTGACCTTTGACTCCAAAATAGTAAACTTATACAGGTTTTGAGACAGATCTAAGAATTATTGAACAATGAAAATTTTTACAGAAAAATTTCCATTTTTTATCATTGTTCAAATCTTTCTCAAAATCTTTGTTCACTATTCTGTCGTAGGTAATAAAATATCGATTAACTCTAACAGTAAATTTTCCATATTTTTTCATGTCTTCAAACATCTTTGTTGGTGAAAACTCAAAAATCTTTTCAAAAATTCACGATATGGGATGCAAAGCTTGCATTGCAAACCACTGGGATACCTATATAGAAAGTCACAAATTTTAATAATTCATTATTTGTTAGTTGTTTATGGGTAATTTATATTAATTGATTTATTTATTTTTGCCTTATTAATGATTTAATTTGTATTGGCTATTGGTCTTGATTTCAAATCTGTTTGACACTGACCTAGGATACTTGGCTTTTTATATTAAATTCTGTCTTTAGTTGACCTGGTCTTTTACACCATTTTTATCTATAGGTAGTTGTGTTTTGCATATTTTTATGCCTTGATTTGTCTAGTCTATGCTACAATTAAGATGTCATATAGTATTTTGTTTTGTTCTCTTATAACCTAGGTATGTTTTTATCAATTCATCTTGTTTTCAGGGTAATTTTCATGCAACTGAAAAACTATGGAAGATAGAAACTTGCGGTTTTCATGATTTGAAAGAGACATTTCAAAGTATACTTTTTAAAAGTTTCAGATTCGTATCTGTTTCTGGAGAAGGTATGCCCTCTAATGAAGTCGAAAGAGGCACGATTAACATTGAAAATAGACCCCCGTAAATATCAACCAAATTTCAATATTCTAGAGGTATCATCATTACAAAAAAAGAAAAGAAATGCATAACATAGGACCTATACGTACTTTGTAAGCTATATCTGCTATCACTGACATACGATCCTCTTTACATTTCAAATTTTTATTGGCAGTGATGATACCTTTAAAATATTGACATTTGATTGAAATTTACTGGGGCCTATTTTCAATGTTATTCATGCCTCTTTCTTTAATATACCATATACCATGTACAGGGTGATCTATTTTAATATCACCCCCTCTTAACTTTTCTTTTTGGCGTTTTCGACAGAAGTGTCAAATGCAAAGTTTTAAGAAATTGTCAAAAGCTTTTAACTAAAATCGAATTTTCGCGACGAGTGTAGTTCATCCAAGGACGGATCATAGTTCGTCTTATGACGTCATGAGTATGTACGCTGGGTAGAAGCTTCGTCCATGCTTCCAGCGAACAACGTTCAATATGACGTCATGAGTTTCTCGCGAAAGCGTTTGTGTTCATGAAATCATGGAAGTAGTTCGTCGTGGAAATTCGGTTTAAGTTAGTTTCAAGTATACAGAGTGCGCTAAAAAAGTGTCGGAGAGAGATGATTTTTTTTAAATAGAACACCATGTATATTGTGCGTTTATTTATTATCCCCCTTAAACCTGACATCAACGATATACGGTTTGACACGTTTATCTCTCGGTTTATCTTCGATAGTTTTAGGGAAAAGCGCGAAATTCCCTTCCTAATGCCTGTATTACATTTGTGTATTTTTCCATGTATTTATTCATGTACCTAGTTCAGGGTATGACAACCGAAAAACGCAAACATAGAATCTGTTTTTTTTTTAAAGATAATTCCCCGAGTCAGAAATTTAGTCCAACATCCCACAATAACACTATCTAACACAAAATAATGGTGCTATAGCACTCGTCAAATTTGGACTTAAGTTACGCCACTGGTTGGCACCCTGAACTACATGAATAAATACACGGAAAAATACACTGATGTAATACGAGCAAGTCTCATGTTATTATTTTTTTTAAATAATAATAATTAATATAATAGCTTAAGACATCTGGATTTATTATAATATTTCCCCTTGTAAATTAATGAATAACATTTAACCAATAAATTGTTTATAAATAATTCTTTCCAAAGCTTGAATGGTGTAATTTTTCTTCCTTCAATGTGAGACCTTGAAAAAAGTTCTCATATTTTTCCCTATAACTATTGAAGAGAGAATATCGAAATCAAACTATATATCGTTGAAATCAGGTTGAAGGATACTATCAAATAAGCGCACAATTCTACATGTTGTTCCATTAAAAATAATATAACTTTGCAACGCTACACTTTTTTGGCGCACCCTGTATGTTTGAAACTGACTTAGGCGGCGTTCCGTAAGTTAACCAAGATTCTTGGTTTTTCCGGTTCCCGTTCCGTAACCTAACCACTCCTGAAATCTGGTTAGGTTATGAAACGCGGTTCCTGAAAAATTCGGTCCCAACTGTCAACCGAATCAACCGATCAAAAACTCGGTTTTATCGGTTTGTTTTCAATTTTTGACATTTGTTTGTTAGGTTAGGTGATGATTTTTTTATTTTTTTCATTTTTCTTCCGCTTTCGACGTGTATTTGCGGTGGAAATGCAACAAGAGGTGAATATTACATTCATGCCTGACGATTGCGTATTACAAATATATTTTTAAGAGGATAATATTCTATCATTTAGCATCCAAGCCAAACCAAAGCTGAACCGAATCGTTCCACACATAAACCGCATTTTCAGGAACCAGACTGTTACCATAGACGAACCGCTTCTCACCGATCGGTAACTCTGGTTAAGATACGGAACGCCGCCTTAGTTGAAAACTTTTGACAATTTCCTGATACTTTTTTATTTGACACTTTTGTCAGAAACGTCAAATGAAAAAGTTAGGAGGGGGTGACATTTATAATAGATCATCATATACCATTTGTACCAAACGTTGTTAGATGTAGGTATATAAGTAATGCCGTGGTAATGTGGAGAAAAACAATATAAGAAAAGGCGAACAAATGCATGGTTACTATATGTGCTCGGATCAGAATTTGGGGCTTCTTATATTTTGTAGAGCAGAATAAGAAGTCCCAAACCTTTTAATTTCAATGAAGTTCTTCCCTAAATCTACCCAGTCTTCAAATTACTTGTGAAGTAATTCAAAAACCCTGGGAAAGTGGCTTAAAGTCAAAATTTCTTGTAATTCTAAATAAAATGTACAGTACTAGGCAAAATCTACATCACACTTCGTACTCAACATTAATTTTTTCTAGCCAATTAAAATTCTAACAAAATAAATCAGAAGATGCACTCGCAAACAATAACGTCTTGGCCTATTAGCATATTCAACATTTTGGATTCTCTAAAGAAAACAAACTTGGAACCTGATTTTGATTAATAAATCAGCTAGTTGACAAACTATAAAAGTACCACCGAGAGATTTTGGATTATCAGTACTACCACAACCGAGATCTACTTACGTAGTCAAAAATAAAAAGTTGGTCAAATAGAAAAATGAGTAAAATTGTGCTAGTAAGTGTATTTACATGGGCTTCTAGTTTTTATAAAAATATAAAAAAATTCCTACTTCCAGATTCTTCTCGTGGCCATGGTCATGGCAATTGCCCTCGTCAAAGCTAATCCAGTACCAGAAGCAGAACCACACTTTGGTCTAGGCTATGGAGGCTATGGAGGTGGCTATGGAGGTTACGGAGGTTATGGAGGTTATGGAGGCTACAGAAGTAAGTGATCTAATTGTTGATTAAAATTGAAGTTTCTGTTGTGAAAAGTCTTCTTGAAAAATAAGTTTATTGAATTTTTTTTTCCAGGTTATGGAGGTTATGGAGGATATGGCGGTTATGGAGGATTCGGTGGATATCGTGGATACGGATTATACTAAGTGTTACCATCATCCACGTGACTAAGATTTGGTTTGATTTTATTTAAATTTTATATTTTATTAAAAACTACTATTGATTAAGAAGAGTTTTTTTCTTATCATTCCAGCCCCCTATATTTTTGCTTCACCCTGTATAAACACAATAAAAAACTACAATAGGTATACCTAATTTTATAAAAAAAAATATTTTTTTATAAAAGGAAGCTGAATAAACATTGAAAATTTGCTGCTTTGTGACGATAATCGATGTCCTATTATGTCTACCTCTGACCCCAAAATGGTAAACTTATACAGGTTTTGAGAAAAATCTGGGATGAGAATTATTCAACAATGAGAATTTTTACAAGAACCTTTTCCCCTCCCTAGGAAAATTTCTATTTTTTATCATTTTTCAGATCTTTCTCAAAATCTGTGTTCATTAAGTATTTTGTCATAGGTAATAAAACCTCGATTAACTCTAGCAGCAAATTTTCCATATTTTTTTTATGTCTTTACTCTTCAAAGTTCTTTGTTGGTGAAAACTCAAAAATCTTTTCAAAAATTCGCGATATGGGATGTAAAGCTTGCATTGCAAACCACAGGGATACATCCATTTTGTTGGCTATTGCGGCCTTGGTTTCAAATATATTTGATATCGTTTTATCTGCTCTATTTTAGTATTACTTTATTTACCTATAGGATTTTTGGTTCTTTGGCTGTTTATATTGTATTCTATCTTTAGTGGATTTCTGGATTTGGTCTTTTATAAACCAATTTTATCTATATTTATGTTTTTTCATACTTTGTTTGCTTTTATTTTTCTGGTCTTTGCTACAATCAAGATGTCATATATTTTGTTTTATTCTCTCATGACCCATGTTTTTGTTAGGTTTAACTTATAGACCGTCAGCTAATGATAGATTTTGCTGACCGATTCTCCCTTCTCGGGGATTTCAACAAGAGCTGAGCTCAAAAAATTAAAATTTAGCGACCGGACGTCTGCTAGGCATAAGTATGGAAAATTTACTTCCGTTTTGCAGCGGCCAGATAATATACCTTAACAGCTAACCGGGTTGCGATTTTACTAAATATAAACTATTACAGCACAAGACATGCCCCCAACTTCGTCATTGCAAAATATAATCGACCTCAGCGCGATTTTACTCAATATAAACTATTACAGCACAAGAGATGCTAGCCCTTAACGTCATTGCAAAATATAATCGCGCTCAGCACATTCCTGCAAAATCTAATCGTTTGTACGATACGTGGCAGATCTAGCCTCATATTTTACTTGTTGTTAGAAGCAGGGCTCACTCTTAGAAGTTAATTATTATTGTTAGTATTGTGTGTTTTCATTATGGATAATTTAATTCAACTTATCAATCCATTGTGTAACAATGGAAATGTTAATATAATCGAGTATGAAAATCAAAACAATTACATAGCAGTACCTACTTCGCTTAAAGTTAAAAGGGAAATCTGACGAAGAGTGCAATTCCGACGACTTTAACTTGCGTTGCAATGAGTGGGTGAATGAATTTTCAATAATAACAAAGACACAATGGATAGTGAAAAAACTTTGCCAAAACTGCAGATTATTGTTTCGTAAACAATACGTGTGCCATCACAACAGCTTTAATAAAGTATCGGCAGATAATGAGCTATTAATATATAGGGTGTTTTAGGGTGTTTTATTAAAAAATATTGGACTTTGGTCGATATCCCGGAATCGGAGCGAAAAAAACTGAGTCCGCCACTGGATTGTGCTCAAAAAAGTATCTCCAAAATGTTTTTACAGAAATAAAAAAAAATTGATAAACAAAAAACTGTCATAATAGGGGAAAATCGAAAATCGCCCTGTATCAATGGTACCATTGAAGATATCGTGATACGGTTTTTAGCAACCGATGTTTCTCGAAAATCGATCCCATGACAGGTTAATTTTCTTCTATCTGGTCTGGAAGTATGTTTTTCCTGGTTAAAACACTCCAAATTGCAGCACCTTGTAAATTTTTAAAATTCGATAACTGTATTCTTTTTCAATTGATTTATTTACATGAATCAGCAGCACGTTGTGCTGTCAACGATTAGATTTTGCAGGATTGTGCTGAGCCCGATTATATTTTGCAATGTTAGCGTCTCTTGTGCTCTAATAGTTTATATTTAGTCAAATCGCGCCGAGGCCGATTATATTTTGCAATGACAAAGTTGGGGGCGTGTCTTGTGCTGTGATAGTTTATATTTAGTAAAATCGCAACCGGGTTATGAGATTTTTTTTCTGGTTCCTTATGAGATCAGATTTGATTGTGTCGATTGCCATAAGCGAGAAAACGATCATCAACCAAGTATTCTTTCACAAGATTATTTCAACCTCGGAATTTCGATGTTTATTTAGCTTTCTTTTATGAAAAATTAATTTGTTATAAAATTATACAAAGTTTTTTACTGGGCTTAAACAGGGTGAAACAATAAATATGGGGGGCTGGAACCATAAGAAAAAACTCTTCTTAATAGTATTTTTTATTAAAATTAAAAAAGTTAAATACAGTCAAACGAAATCTTAGTCACATGGATTATGATGACACTTAGTAGAATCCGTATCCACGATATCCACCGAATCCTCCATAACCGCCATATCCTCCATAACCTCCATAACCTGGGAAAAAATGTAATTTTTCATTAAATTTATTTTTCGAGAAGACTTTTCACAACAGAAACTTCAATTTTAATCAACAATTAGATGACTTACTTCTGTAGCCTCCATAGCCTCCGTAACCTCCATAGCCACCTCCATAACCTCCATAGCCTAGACCAAAGTGTGGTTCTGCTTCTGGTACTGGGTTAGCTTTGACAAGGGCAATTGTCATGACCATGACCACGAGAAGAATCTAGAAGCAAGATTTTTTTTATATTTTGACAAAAACTAAAAGCCTAATGTAAGTACACTTACTAGCACAATTTTACTCATTTTTTGTATTTGACAAACTTCTTATTTTTGACTATATGAGGTAGATCTTAGTTGTGGTAGTACTGATGATCCAAAATCTCTCGATGGTACTTTTATAGGTTGTTGATTCGATGATTTAATATAAACAAAATCAGGTTCCAAGTTTGTATGCTGCAGAGAATCCAAAATGTTGATTATGCTAATAGGCCAAGATGTTATGGTTTGCGAGTGCATCTTCTGATTTATTTTGTTGGAATTTTAATTGGCTAGAAAAAAATGCAAAGTTTGATGTAAATTTTGCCTAGTACCTACCGAAAATTTTATTTAGAATTACAAGAAATTTTGACTTTAAACCACTTTCCCATCAGGGTTTTTGAATTACATACTTCACTAATAATTCGAAAACTGGTAGATTTAAGGAAGAACTTCATCAAAATTAAAAGTTTTAGGACTTCGTATTCTGCTCTACAAAATATAAGAAGCCTCAAACTGCAATCCGAGCACAATATCCATGCATTTGTTCGCCTTTTCTTATATTGTTTTTCTTCACATTACCACGGCATTACTTATATATCTACATCTATCAACGCTTGGTACAAATGGTACATCATGGTATATGGTATATTAAAGAAATAAGCATGATTAACATTGAGAATTTCATACATTTGTCAAAACTGGTATTCCAACAATAAATTGACATGTTTTGATTGTTAATTTGAACCAATCAGATTGTAATTACGCGATAATTTGCACTAGTGCAAATTATCAGATAATTGCATACTAACTGGTGCGAAAACTGGTGTTTTGACATTTTTTGAAAAAAATTTAAATTTTTGATTTATGAAATTCTCTCATTAAATACAACTCGTGCATTGGAAATATATTTATAATTTTCGACAAATTTGCACTCATGCTAAAAATGCATTCGGGCAAATTTCCCAAAAATTATCAATAATTTCCATTGCACTAGTTATATTACTATTGAAAATAGGCCCCCGTAAATTTCAACCAAATGTCAATATATTATAGGTATCATCATTGCCAATAAAAATTTGAAATGTGAAGAGGATCGTATGTCTGTGATAGCACATATAGCTTACAAAGTACGTATGGGTCCTATGTTATGCTATGCATAGGAAATATTCCTACGTAGATTTTCTCCAAAATCTCGAAAAATAGTTATCCGATTTTGTCGTTTTTGGGGTCTTTTGTAGGTATCAAATCCCGAAAACGTCAAAATCGGATTACTATTTTTCGAGATATTGAAGAAAATCTACGTAGAAATATTTCCTATGCATAGCATAGCATAGGATTATAGGATCTACAAGTACTTTGTAAGCTATATCTGCTATCACAGACATACGATCCGCTTTACATTCCAATTTTTTTTTTTTTTTTTTTGCAATGATGATACCTGTAAAACATTGAAATTTAGTTGGGGGCCTATTTTCAATGTTGATCGTGCCTCTTCCGTTCTATTGACTTTCTGAGAGGGCAAACCTTCTCCAGAAACAGATACGAATCTGAAACTTTCAAAAAGTATACTTTGAAATGTCTCTTTCAAATCATGAAAACCGCAAGTTCGTATCTTTTATATAGTTTTTCAGTTTCATGAAAGAAATTACCCTGAAAAACTAGGTGACTTAATAAAAACATAGGTAATGAGAGAACAAAAGAAAATAAATAACATCTTAAATTGCAGCATAAACTAGAAAAATCAAGGCAAAAAAGTATGCTAGGTCAATGTCAAACAGATTTGAAATCAAGGCCAATAGCCAATACAAATTACATCATTAATAAGGCAAACATAAATAAGAGAATTAATATAAATTACATATAAACAAACAACAAATAATGAATTATTAAAATTTGTTACTTTCTATGTAGTGTGGTTTGCAATGCAAGCTTAGCATCCCATATCGCCAATTTTTGGAAAGATTTTTGAGTTTTCACCAACAAAGATGTTTGAAGACATAAAAAAAATATGGAAAATTTGCTGCTAGAGTTAATCGATGTTTTATTACCTACGACAGAATAGTGAACACAGATTTTGAGAAAGATCTGAGAAATGATAAAAAATGAACATTTTCCTAGGGAGGGGAAAAGGTTTTTGTAAAAATTTTAATTTTTCAATAATTCTCAGATCTTTCACAAAACTTGTAGGTATAGGTTTACTATTTTGGGGTCGAAGGTCAAGGATAAAACATCAGTTAACTTTTCTACCATCAAAATTTTTATATTTATTCATGTCTTCAAAAATCTCCTTGGGAAAATTTCCATTTTTTGTCATTTCTCAAATAATTCCCAAAATCTGTGTTCACTATTTTGTCATTTGGGACATCGATTATCGTCACAAAACAGCAAATTTTCGATGTTTATTTAGCTTTCTTTTATAAAAAATCAATTTTTTATAAAATTATACCTAGTTTTTAATTGGGCTTAAACAGGGTGAAACAAAAAATATAGGGGGCTGGAACCATAAGAAAAAACTCTTCTTAATCAATAGTATTTTTTAATAAAATACAAAAAATATATACAATCAAACGAAATCTTAGTCACAGGGATAATGGTGACACTTAGTAGAATCCGTATCCACGATATCCACCGAATCCTCCATAACCGCCATATCCTCCATAACCTCCATAACCTGGGAAAAAATTTAATTTTTCATCAAATTTATTTTCCGAGAAGACTTTTCACAACAGAAACTTCAATTTTAATCAACAATTAGATGACTTACTTCTGTAGCCTCCATAACCTCCGTAACCTCCATAGCCACCTCCATAACCTCCATAGCCTAGACCAAAGTGTGGTTCTGCTTCTGGTACTGGGTTAGCTTTGACAAGAGTAATTGCCATGACCATGGCCACGAGAAGAATCTGGAAGTGAAAATGTTTTGATAATTTGATAAAAACTAAAAGCCTATGTAAGTTGGTACACTTACTAGCACAATTTTGCTCATTTTTCTATTTGACAAACTTCTTATTTTTGACTATATGAGGTAGATGTTAGTTGTGGTAGTACTGATGATCCAAAATCTCTCGGTACTTAGTACTTTTATAGGTTGTTGATTCGATGATTTAATATAATTAAAATCAGGTTCCAAGTTTGTTTGCTGCAGAGAATCCAAAATGTTGATTATGCTAATAGGCCAAGATGTTATGGTTTGCGAGTGCATCTTCTGATTTATTTTGTTGGAATTTTAATTGGCTGGAAAAAAATTATGTTGAGTGCAAAGTTTGATGTAAATTTTGCCTAGTACCTACTGAAAATTTTATTTAGAATTACAAGAAATTTTGACTACTTTTCCAGGGTTTTTGAATTACATACTTCACAAGTAATTCGAAAACTGGTAGATTTAAAGAGGAACTTCATTAAAATTAAAAGTTTTAGGACTTCTTATTCTGCTCTACAAAATATAGGAAGCCTCAAATTGCAATCCGAGCACATATAATAACCATGCATTTGTTCGCCTTTTCTTATACTTATTGTTTTGCTCCACATTACCACGGCATTACTTATGTATCTACATCTAACAACGTTTGGTACAAATGGTACATGGTATATGGTATATTAAAGAAAGAGGAAAGAGGCAAGATTAACATTGAAAATAGGCCCCCGTAAATTTCAACCAAATGTCAATTTTTTAAAGGTACCTATCATCATTTCCAAAAAAAAAATTTGCTTACAAAGTAACTATAGGTCATGCTATGCAAAGGAAATATTCCTACTTAGATTTTCTTCAATATCTCGAAAAATAGTTATCCGATTTTGACGTTTTTGGGGTCTTTTGTAGGTATCGGGTCTTCAAAAAAAAAACAATCAAAGATTGCTATGGTTTTTTAAACGTATGTCTTAGCAAAATTTTCCTTTCATTTTGTCAATGAACTTAATGTCAAAATGTCATGTCAAAAATCCCGACTAATAAAGAAACATGCAGTAATGCGACGTACGTTTTCGTAATCAAAGCAATCTTCGATTGTTTTTTTTTTTTGAAGACCCGATATCAAACCCCGAAAACGTCAAAATCGGATAACTAGGTATTTTTCGAGATATTCAAGAAAATCTACGTAGGAATATATTCTATGCATATAGCATAGCATATAGGACCTATACCAAACCTATACGTACTTTGTAAGCTATATCTGCCGTCACAGACATACGATCCGCTTTACATTTCAAATTTTTTTTTTGAAATGATGATACCTTTAGAATATTGAAATTTGGTTGAAATTTACGGGGGCCTATTTTCAATGGTAATCGTGCCTCTTTTGTTCTATTGACTTCATTAGACGGTAAACCTTCTTCAGAAACATATACGTATCTGAAACTTTCTAAAAGTATACTTTGGAATGTCTCTTTCAAATCATGAATACCGCAAGTTCGTATCTTTCATAGTTTTTCAGTTGCATGAAAGAAATTACCCTGAAAAACAAGGTGACTTAAAAAAAACATAGGTAATGAGAAAACAAAACAAAATATATGTCATCTTAACTTAATTGTAGCATAGACCAGAAAAATCAAGTCAAAAAAGTATGCAAAACACTAAAAAACTACCTATGGATGAAAATGGTGTAAAAGGCCAGGTCAACTGAAGACAGAATATAATACCTATAAAAAACCAAGTATCCTAGGTCAATGTCAAACAGATTTGAAATCAAGGCCAATAGCCAATACAAATTACATCATTAATAAGGCAAACATAAATAAAGCAATTATTAAAAATTACACATAAACAAACAACAAATAATGAATTATTAAAATTTGTGACTTCCTATGTAGGTATCCCGTGGGTTGCAATGCAAGCTTTGCATCTCATATCGCGAATTTTTGAAAAAAAAAAATTGAGTTTTCACCAACAAAGATTTTTGAAGAGTGAAAACATAAAAAAAATATGGAAAACTTTCTGCCTACCTACGACAGAATAGTGAATACAGATTTTGAGAAAAATCTGAGAAATGATAAAAACTGAAAATTTTCCTAGGGAGAGGAAAAGGTTCTTGTAAAAATTTTCATTATTCAATAATTCTCAGATCTTTTTCAAAACGCTTCCTTTTATAAAAAAATAATTTATTATAAAATTATACCTACCTAGTTTTTTTATTGGGCTTAAACAGGGTGATAGTCCGGCAGTCACTGGGGTGAACCCAAAAATTTGGGATAATTTTTTTTTTTCTAACGGATTTGTCATCTACAGGTCTCCTACTTTTGATATCTGAGTGATGACGAAGTGGCATCTTTGGGGAATTTAAGATACAGGGTGATTCATTATCGATAATGTGAAATTATAATTATTTTTAAATTATAGGTATTTTTAACGTAAAAAGATATTTGGCTTTGATGTTATTATTAACGTAGGTTTTCTCATAGGTAAATGATAACGACACATCTTGTATACAGGGTGTTTTGAAAAACGTATATATTTTCACGTAAATTGAAAGTGAAGCCAAAACTAATAATATTTGAAAGTACTTCTACATTTTGTATACTTTGTAGGGAAAACAGGTATGTATGTAACACAACAAAAACATCCTTTATTATCCTTTAGTATATAGGGTGTTTCAACAAACACATTACCTCCGTAGAAGTAATGATGATTTTCAACATGCGTATCATAAAACATTAAGCTATTTTTTATATGGGTAAAGTAAGTGGGATATAAAGGTTTACCAGTCGTTATCAAATTCAGAATCAGCTTCTTTATCGGAAACTGCTTCATTTTCATCCTCATCATCACTAGCCGCTACAGGAATCCCAATGATGCTGTAAAATTATCAACACCAATTCTTAAATTTAAGTTAAGTTACGAATTCTAAAAACACACACAAATAATTATTGTTAGGCTATGTAAGCATATACCTAGTACCTCTATAACCAATAAATTAATCAGCGCAGTCAAAAATTAAGGCCTTAGGCTAAAAAAACTACTGAATATATTTTTATTTCTTATATTTTGGAACATCCTGTATATCTGGATTTTCCCAAGGATGACAGCTTGTCATCAGCCGGATATGGAAACTGGACATATAGTCTGTCTTTTTTAAAGATAATTCCCCAAGTCAAAAATTCAGTAAATATGTTGGCAACGCAAGCCTTTTCCACATAAAAAATCTGAACGTATTGACAATTTTACATTGTATTACTAACATAATGTCATTTTGACTTTTATCTTTAAAAAAAAACACACTTTAGATCTACAAGAATTCGTCAAAAAAAAAACTTAATCCCACAATTGGCACTTCAGGGAAAAATCTGGGTTCTGCTGCCGGACTATGAAATAAAAAATATGGGGAGCTGGAATCACAAGAAAAAACACAAACTCAAAACTCTTAATCAATAGTATTTTTTAATAAAATATAAAAGTTAAATACAGTCAAACGAAATCTAGTCACGTGGATTACGGTGACAGTTAGTAGAATCCGTATCCACGATATCCACCGAATCCTCCATAACCGCCATATCCTCCATAACCTCCATAACCTGGAAAAAAAAATAATTTTTCATTAAATTTATTTTTCGAGAAGACTTTTCACAACAGAAACTTCAATTTTAATCAACAATTAAATGACTTACTACTGTAGCCTCCATAACCTCCGTAACCTCCATAGCCACCTCCATAACCTCCATAGCCTAGACCAAAGTGTGGTTCTGCTTCTGGTACTGGGTTAGCCTTAACAAGGCCAATTGCCATGACCATGGCTACGAGAAGAATCTGGAAATAAGAATTTTTCGATATTTTTTATAAAAACTAAAAGTCCATGTAAGTACACTTACTAGCACAATTTTACTCATTTTTCTATTTGACCACCTTTTTATTTTTGACTACGTAGATCTCGGTTGTGGTAGAACTGATAATCCAAAATCTTTCGGTGGTACTTTTATAGTTTGTTTACTGGCTGATTTATTAATAAAAATCATGGCTGATTTATTAATAAAAATCAGGTTCCAAGTTTGTTTTCTTTAGAGAATCCAAAATGTTGATTATGCTAATAGGCCAAGACGTTAGGTACCGTTTGCGAGTGCATCTTCTGATTTATTTTGTTCGAATTTTGTACAACAAATTTTGATTGTAAACCACTTTTTCAGGTTTTTGAATTACTTCACAAAAAATTTGAAAACTGGTAGATTTGAGGACGAAGATTATTGAAATTAAAAGTTTTAAAACTTCTTCTACTCTACAAAATAGGAAGCCTCAAATTCCAATTCGAGCACAATAACCATGCATTTGTTCGCCTTTTCTTATATTGTTTTTCTCCATATTACCACGGCAATACCTTTATACCTACTTCTAACAACGTTTGGTACAAATGGTACATGGTATATTTTCCTATTGACTTTATTAGAGGGCAAACTTCTGTCTATATTCAAATCTATACATCAAAATAACTGTTGCTCATGAAAAACTCGAAAACTCCAACAAGGGATAAACCAATAGTCCAAAACAAACGTTTTATAACATTTTATTTAAATGGAATTTATTTTAGCTAGAAAAATGAAAAATTTCCTAGGGTGTCGTAAAATTGTGTCAGTATTGTGATTTTTGAAGAGATAAAGCAAAGCAATATCGAAAACTTGACGGTAGAGAAGTTAATTTATGTCTTATTTTCGACCTACGACCTCAAAATATAAATAGGTATACCTCCTATACACAGATTTTGAGAAAGATTTGGCAATGATGAAAAATTGAAAATTCGTAGGAAATTCAGTTTAAGTAGGTAGGTACCTATTTTTCCTTCAAAATTGGCATTTTGCAAAACTTCTCTAGAAACAGATACGATTCTGAAACTTTGAAAAAGTATACTTTGAAATGTCTCTTACAAATCATGAAAACCGCAAGTTCGTATCTTTCATAGTTTTTCAGTCGCATGAAAGAAATTACCCTAAAAAACAAGGTGACTTAATGAAAACATAGGTAATGAGAGAACTAAAGAAAATATATGACATCTCAATTCTAGCATAGACTAGAAAAATCAAGGCAAAAAAATATGCAAAACACAACTAACTACCTATAGATAAAAATGGTCTAAA